TCTCTCTACTATTCAGCGCCCTTTTGCCTTAGGAATAACTCGGGCATATATTACTACTTCCACTGATGCAATAAATGTCTTGGCTGGTTTGCTCCCACTGCATATTAGAACTGAGGAGGAAGCAGCACGACAAATGTTAATACAGCTACACAAGCCAATAGCATTTGCTGAAGAAAATTTTACTTCGGAGGAATATGAAACCAAACTAACATCTGACAGCATTCACCCTGCGGATTATGGTGTTGGCATTAGACTACATGTCCCCGCCTACAGAATACCGTAGCCCCTCGAGTATAGTAATTTATACGGATGGATCTAAAATTGAAGGAAATGTGGGGAGCGCATTTGCTGTCTTACAAAAAAATAGTGTCATTGCACAATGGAAGGGCCATTTGGCTAACAATAACAGTGTCTTTCAAGGGGAAGCAGTAGCAATAGCGCAAGCTATTCGCTACTTGCTAACCCACCAAATCCTAAAGGCTACTATAAAGTCTGATAGCCTTTCAGCTATTTATGCGATTAGTAATCCAGAACACCCATCCAAAATCATTAGAGATATTCAACAAGACCTTAGAAAACATCAACGCCATGACATCCACTTAGCTTGGATAAAGGCACATATGGGTGAATATGGAAACGAAGTTGCAGATACTCTCGCCAAGGAGGCCGCTTTTGGAATTGCTGCTGAACAAATTCACATACCTTGGCCGCATTCACATTTGAAATCTGCATTACGTCTCAAAGCAATCAGTAAGTGGCAAGAAGAATGGGATTATAGTACCACTGGTCGTCGTACTTATTACCATATTTCTTACGTTACACAAGATAGATGCTGTGGAAATCCCCATCTGACACGTTATATTTCAGGGCATGGCCCTTTTCCTCTTTATTTTGAGAGATTTAAAATAAGCGATTCCAGCTTTTGCACCTGCGGAGAGTTAGGCTCTCCGGAGCATTACCTTGAAAAATGCCCTCTTACAGAAGGCTTACATATCAGATTCCCTTCGCAAAATCGTCAAGCCTTTTGCAAATTTCTAATCAAGCAGAGGCACTTGATTAATAAAATTAACAAGGTTATGGAAAAGGTTAAAGGTCTTGGAATAGACCTGTGCCAGGTGTAGCATTCATAGGCATAATGCATTGATGCAAAGTACATAATCTTCGTGGTAAACTCTGGTTTAATGCTACATTTATAAATTTTAGTGATATTCTTATAACGGACTGATCTAATGAAATGATCATTGTACTGTATCTTATGCACCCCCTATGAAAAACAATATGTTTACTTTGCTTATTAGTTACCACAGTCTTAACGTACCCTTTCAAATAGTCACTCAGTACAAATTCTATCAAATTTTGTGTCTCTGAAATGTAAAAGTAAAATATTTCATAAGAAATTACTGTACCAGTGTAGTGTATTGTAGCAAATATGAGGGTACACCATTATTGGTTTTTGTTGTTCCAGAATGCTTACATTTGTATGAATGATACTTATGGCTGAATTTGTGAAGCACATTAAGTATGTACTTTTCAATGATCCTCACGACTTGATCCTGTATTTGTATGATCCTATATTCCACATTCTGCTCCTAATGTGTATGTGTATTATTTTGTATGGCATATTCTATGTATATATATATATATATATATATATATACAACAGCGCATTATTTATTTACTTATTTTTATTTATTTATTTATTTATTTTTTTATTTTTTTTTTTTTTTTTTAATGTTTTTATGTATGAATAATATAATAATATTTAATCATATAATTAATTGATACTTAGTATTTTGCATTTTAACTGTACACGCACCAGCATTATGTTTTAATAATCCTGTTTGATTATATACTGTATCATGCATATGTAGGATATTGTATTTTTTTTTTTAATTTTCTTTCTTTATTTTTTTTTTTATTTTTTTAAGGTTTTTATGCATGAATAATATAATATTATTTAGTCATATAACTTTAAATCGATACTTAGTATTTTACATCTTAACTTTTGCATTTTAACTGTATACGCACCAGCATTATGCTTTAATAATCCTGTTTGATTATATACTGTATCATGCATATGTAGGAAATTGTATGGTTTATTTATATTGTACGATATCGTAAGTACTGTAAAGTATGACCTGTAGTCCCACTAGTCTCTAGATAAGGGTGGACGTGGTGCTATTACCAATTAACCATAACGGTAAAGGGATGGTGCCCACGTCCTCCGTCACTAAACTAAACTAAACTAAACCCCCCGTGGCCGAGACTGCCTAGGTACAGATCCTAACAAGTAGCTTCGCAGAGTTCTCTACGTCGACCCCCGGGGGGGCAGCAAATGTAAAGCCGAACTTCCAGAATGCATTAACTGTCGAGATGCAAATGAGAGACACGGAGCTAGGTATGACTGCAGGCACCCGGCATACGCGCAGCGGAGTGTCCAGAGTACCAACGTGCAGCGGCCTATATCAGAAGTATTACCCAGTACTGATAATAACATCATATCACAAAACAGCGGAAGCCAGTCAAAAACTGATGTACTTGTCAACTGAGAGACTATAGCAGAAGAAACACCTGTGAAAATACTACAAATCAATATGCAGCGCGCCAGAGCGGCAGTCGCTCAAACAATACAATATGCAATCGAAAAGAACATAGATATAATCCTTGGTCAAGAGCCTTATGTCAGAGAGGGGATGGCAGTAGGTTTTCCGGTAAAATGGACGGTATTTCAGAAAATAGATAAAGATAATGCACCAAAAGCAATTTTAGTATGTTGCAGGCCGGACTGGTCGCCGGTTATCATCGCAGCGGAACAAGACAACATTGCAGTACTCCTGGAAGTTCATTCACTTACTTTGGCCATCGCTTCGAGCTACTCGCCACCGACAGTGGAAATTGGGCTCACTGCAAGGTTCATGGAGCAAGTTTTACACAAGATAAAGATTCCATACGTACTTTTCTGGGGAGATTATAACGCCCATAATACTACCTGGGGCTATCGTGCCACGGACACAAAGGGCAAAGAACTGGAGGACTTCCTCAGCTCGAAAAATCTTGTTATCCACAATACCGCAGAAGTGCCACCCTCCTTCGACAGAATCTTCGGTCGGGGCTGGCCCGATCTCACTATTACGCCTTTGCAAGCAGCGTTCTTACTGACAGATTGGAAAGTAGATGATCAAGAAAGTCTAAGTGATCACAAATTTATAACTTACTCTCTGCGGCAGTCGACATCTATCACCAAAATTAAAAGGTACAATCTCCCAGGTAGAAAGCTCCTTACCTTCACTAGGAAGGTTAAAAGGCACCTGGAAACTCTTGAACCGGCGCTACAGCATGCAGACACAATGGCAGACTTGGAGAATTTCTCCATCAGGCTACAGAACACCATACAATTAGTTTGTGACCAAAATCTCCCCAAGAAAAAACCTCAGAAGATAAAGGAAATGCACTGGTGGACGGGCGCATTACAGAAGCAACAGCGTAAATGCAGGGCTTTGCGAAGGAGATTGAAGTACGAGAGGCGGCTAGAGATCACCTCGGACACACTCACCATTTTTCAAAGAGAGCGAGCAAAATACAAAAGGATGATCATCCAGGCCAAAGTAACATCTTGGAGAGAGTTCTGTTCCAATACAAAAGAAGTATACGGGCTGCATCACAAGATAGCAACGGGGAAGGTGTTCAAGCCTTCGCAGCTTCAAATCCCGTCATCACTGGATAGCAGCCAAAGCTACACGACTGACACTTTGAATGTAGTTTTAAATACTGTGTTCAGTCAGGACGATGCAGAGCAAGACACCGCCGAACAAGCTGCCCTTCGAGCAGATACAAATAGTGTAGACACAGAAGCAGATCCGGAATTCACGCTTCAAGAACTGCAGAGAGTGCTGGCAAGTCTGCCGCGAAAGAAAGCCCCCGGGACAGACGGCATGGACTACACAATCGTAAAAGCTACCATAAAGGCATACCCTACATTCTTCGTAAGCTATTTCAATAAGCTTCTGTCAGTAGGACTTTTTCCAACACCATATAAAATAGGGCAAGTGGTATTATTCCTCAAGAAAAACAGAGATCCTTCAGAAGCCTCATCATTCAGACCCATCTGCCTTTTGTCGGCGATGGGGAAGGTGTTGGAGAAGCTAATCATCAACAGACTGCGCCACCACTTGCATCTCAACGGTTATCTCAGCAGCAGCCAATATGGCTTCAGGACTGGTTCATCGACGGTGCATGCCCTCCATAATATAAAGGAGGCAATTCTGGAAAATAGACACAGCGGCCACCACACGGCTATGGTCAGCATAGACCTAAAGAATGCTTTCGATACGCTGTGGTAGCCGGCTATCAAGCAGGCATTACGAAGGGCCAATTGCCCAAGTAACATATATAGTATACTAAGCAACTACCTGCAGGATCGAAAGCTATTAGAGGTGCATAATGCAGGCATTATCGAAAAGGTGCAAACTAGAGGATGTCCGCAAGGATCGTGCGCCGGGCCGCATTTATGGAACTTAACGTTCAATGAAGTACTGACAGCGACGTGGCCGGCGCACACTAAAATCATTGCATACGCGGATGACGCGGCGCTTATCGTAAAGGGTACCACGCGAAAAAAATTACAGAAAAATTGCAATGAAGTTTGCGCGATCTTTCATGACCAGTGTACCAAACTTAAGCTCACAATTGCAGAACATAAGTCAAAAGTCCTTTTAATTCCGAAAAAAGGAGGATCCTTAGTAAGACGCCCCACCATAAAGAAACCAACCAACGCCTGCAGATAGTGGACCAGCTAAGATATTTAGGGGTCACTTTTGATCATAAGATGACCTGGATCCCTCACGTGCAGGATCTCAAACTCCGGACGGCAGCCATAGCCAAACAAATAAAACTCTTTTTATGGTCACAAATGGGGGCTTAACCCCCATATTCAAAATGTATTGTACACGACAGTCATCGAGAAGATAGTGACGTATGCTGCCGCAGTATGGGCCTACCCAATGCAAGGAAGGAAGGTCAGACATCTTAACAGCATACAACGACCATTCGCATTGGGAATCACACGGGCGTACCGCACCACCTCCACCGATGCCATTAACGTACTTGCTGGTCTCTTTCCCCTGCACATCCGGGTTGAGGAGGAGGCAGCACGCCAACACATTTTGCAACTTAAGAAGGCAGTTACTTTTGACGATGAAACATACTACCCGGATGAGTACGAAACAAACTTCTGCCCTCTTGACGACGTCCACCCGGCAGAGAAAGGCAAAGGGATACTTATCTCAATTAATCCCACTGCAACTCATCACTCAAGGGAAATGACCATCTATACAGACGGGTCTAGATTGGACGAAAGAGTGGGATGCGCCTATGTCGCCACGAAACAAGACAACGCAATCGAGAAATGGAAAGGACAGTTAAGACAACATAACAGTGTCTTTCAAAGCGAAGCAGTGGCAATTGCACAAGCGATTCGCTACCTGCACTCGCACCAGCATAGCCATGTCACCATTAAAACGGACAGCTTATCATCGTTATATGCCATTTGGAATGCAGATCATCCCTCGGAGATTATACAGGGAATCCAGAGAGATCTTAGAAGTAACCCCCAGTACCGCACAAAATTAGAGTGGATAAAGGCTCATGTTGGCCACTATGGCAATGAACTTGCCGACCAACTCGCCAAAGAGGCAACAACTGACCCGCCTGATGCACCAATTATCATCCCATGGCCGCATTCGTATTTAAAGAAGACACTACGCCTAAGGGCTACTGGCATGTGGCAGAACGAATGGGACCAAAGCACCACAGGGAGGAGGACCCACTACTTCATCGGCTATGTGGATACTAGCCGAAATGTAGCGAACGCACAGTTGGTAAGGTTCATTTCCGGGCATGGGCCCTACCCGGAATATTTCTTCAAGCGTGGCATAAGTCACACAAGTCAATGTGCATGCGGCGACTCAGGCTCACCAGAGCACTATCTAACGTCATGCCCATTAACAGAAGGACTGCATAGCAATCTCCCTGAAACAAATCGCCAGCCGTTCTGTAAATATATGATAAAACAGCGGCACTTTATTAAAAAGCTGGTACAGTTGATGGACAGACTGTCCGACTTAGATACAGACTTGTGTCAGCCATAGAACAACCCAGCACGTAAAAACAACTTAAGCATTTTAAAAAGGACATGTATTGCAATGTAGGAAAACTGTCATTCAAGTGAATTGTAAGAAACTATAATGTAGACTAGAAACTCACAGTATAAAGACTGCCTGTATTCATACCTGGAAAGTCAGTTGCATTTAACAATGTGCATGTACTGTGTAAATAAATTTCGGCAAATTATACCGTAAGACCATATATAATGAACCGATATATAATGTAGGCATAACGAATGTATGAAAGTTCATATATCTGTAAGCAAAGTAATGTAAGGGAGTGTAATATATGTAAATATTTTTGTGTATCAGTAAGCTATGTATAAGTAAGTTATGCAATTTAAAGTAATGCAATATAAATGCAGAAATGTCTAATAAAAATGCATGAGTAACATATATGTTTTGTATTATGAATAAGGGTTATAGGATGTCTAACGCAAAGCAATGTATGTATTGGAATGTCTATTTCATGTACTGGAAAATTATGCAATAAGTACCCAAATAACATGTAATGTAAGTAACCTGTAAGACTATTATGTTTGTAAATATTTGTATCTAAAAAATTAATCAGAATGCATCTGCATGTATCTATATGCAACTGCAAGTATATGTAACCTAAGGTTAAGCAGTGTAGGTAAAATTAAGTAATATGTGAAGCAGGCGTGCCTGACTATGTATGTATATAAAAATAATGTAACGCAAGGCACATGTAATATTGGCATATGTAACCGTACATGCAAACTGTATTTATATGCAATCTACAAGTAATGTAGGTATATTTATTGAAATGTACAGCTAAAAACTGTAACTGTACACAAAAGTAATCCAACGCAATGTAAGATTAATGTAATTCAGGTAATGCATATGCATTGTATGCCGGAATGAGAGACAAAGTCAGTATGTAACTCTGTAAATCACGTTATCCATAGAATATATTAACCAGCAAACAAGAATGTAATACTAAATATTAACAGCCCTTGTATGGCCATGTAATTGCTCTTTTGAAAGACTCAAGGTTCAACTCTAGATATTGGTGGAGGTGGCGCTACACCAATTAACCGACGGTAAAGGGGTGGTGCCCACGTCCCCCGACGCATGTCGCATGTTGTCTGCTGTACGCTAAGTTTGGATGGAGAGAAATATGTACGTGGCCAGCTGAAAAGTATTGTCGCGAGTGTACTGGTTCGAAAGCGCTCAGAACCAACGATACCTTGATAAAATTTATTATATAAAAAGAAAGACTTCGCAGTTCTCAAACCTTCCCCAAAAATACTCCTACAGTTATACAGTATCACAGAGTACAATCGGCAGTTCAAACTACTAAGAGCGTTAAACACAGTATTTTATATAAAATCTAATATTTTCCTCCGGACACCCAGAAATCTCTGGTTAATTCAATTTTTCGTACTGGATGGCAGTTATACGCTTCGAAGTTACATCTAAGGACCGAATACGGTTACACTTTAATACACAGATTAATTACAGTTATTCATTTGCAATACCCATCACAGTTATAAAAGGACCTGACCAAAGTGCCGCCAAATTATGACCAAGTTTGTTGACTTGTAGGCAATTTTTCTCCAAATTAGGTGACAAAAATTAGTCTCCAAGACCATCGCCAGCTAGGAAAAATCTTGCAAATTTAGCTACATAGCTATTTACCGTATCGTTAAATAAACTTGCCTCTATATTGCTAATCTTACTTTTTTCGGCACAGCTTCATTTTCTTCAAGCATTTCATTTTAAAAATACTACAGTTATAAGGTATTTCTCCTACTTTCCTAGGGTGCCTTCATGGTGTACCGGTAGCACGCTGGGCCGGTACTCCAGAGGTCCGTGGTTCGATTCCCGGCGAAAGCGGTTGTGTATTTTTCATCTTTTCTGCTTCCAATCAACCTAATGACTCTACACAGTTTCACATATAATTTCACTAAAATTATTTATATATATACAAAATCTGTAACAATATAATTGTTTTCTTAAATTAAATATTATTTTTAAATTGCCATATATAGTATCACACGAAACCTACAAGTTTCTTCGAGTGATAATAAATAACTTCGAATGTCTGCCTGCTTAAGATTTGCCAGAGTTTTAGAAATGCGTTATCTATAAAAAGAAGCGTGCCAGGAAAATTTGATTCTCGTTTCAAGGGGATAAAATTGTTTATCTTTTTTTATAAAAATGAATTTAACATCTATCATTTCGCAAATTTTTGAACATTTTTATTCTAATTTTTTTATTAATTCCATTTGGAAGAGAGATTTCAGGTAACACCAGAACTATAGTTGAAAGAATTAAGACTAGAGGCTTCGATTCTTTCCTTTCTTCGCTCTATCGCTGCACACTCACTCCTCTCATTTTGCTCCTCATTCTCCACCTTATCCATCAAGTTGATTGTTAATGAGCTATGAGACGCAGAATAGAATCGATTCAGTTCTATGAAATAGCGGTTTCGTTCACCTCTATTCAAAGGACAAGTTTTACCAATGATCTCCTTCCATTCATAAATACGATATAATACTTAGAAGCACGTTAGTACCTTTATTTTCTTTAATAAATAACGCATCATGACAGTCTGAAAGATAGCTAAAAAAGCTGATTTTCTCAATTATTTATTGAATTGCTAATGTTGCTATTCTATCTGTCTCATATTTGCGTTACACTTGGGGAAAATCCGAAAACTCCAAACTACAAATTTGTTCAATGGGACATCATAAAAAAATGGAATATAACTCCTAAAAGCATCTACAACATCACTTTAGTAGCATGTTTAGACATCTAAAAAAACAAATGACGTCAAGTACTTAGTTAATGCTTAAAGATACGTGTAGCAAATTATGAACGAGCTTCCTGAACATTTACAGAATTCAAACTTACAATAGCAACGAAAATGTGGCAAAGCATATAAAAATACCTAGTAGTAAATATTAATATTCGTTGCATAAAGTGTCTTTACGAAAGATATCTTGTAAGCGCCTTGTTGGTGTGGAAGTGTATAAGTCAGATAAATTAACGCTTAGATAAATCAGCAGCTGAAAAGGGGAAATAATATATCGGATAAGATGGACTCTATAATTCCGTATTTATCATTCGCTAGACTTAATTGCTTTTTCTTCTGAATAAGAGATAAACCACTTAAGTAAATAGTTTTCCCCATTTATACCTTTACCCAAATAAATGCACATCAGTTCTGTCACCAATAGCCCAGTCAACATAGAGTTTGCAGAAGAAAAAAAGGAAATAAATTTTTTCCTCGTCGTTTCTATATGGTTTTTTTCTTTTTTTTTATCGGAGGGGGGGGGGTCGTGCTGAATCCGAATTTTAGGTTTACCACCTACCCAGAGGCAGGCTTCACAAAGAAAATTGGGAAAAACCTCGAAGTTTCGGCATTTTTTAATTTTTCTTTATTTTGACAATTAAGCATTTTTCGAAGTCCACCACTCTATAAAGTAGGCAAAGTATCTTACAAAATGCATATATAAAGTTAAATGCTTGGACAGACTGCGACACAGCTAGAGCGCGCTGAAAAAAACCACTCCTTGGCTTTCCGTTTAAAGCGCAGAAGACGCTATTCCAGTTGTGCGGTGGTGCCCTAGTATCAACGTCATATGCCTGCAACTAATTATTTTATGAAAACCTGATATGCCTAAGTTGCATTAATTGAATAGCATAAGGTACGTATTCGGCGAACCCATTAGTTTATGGAACATCACGCCAAGTACATCTACAAATGGAAAATGAAAATCAAGTATTTTAGGGGAAATAATAGTACAGTAGACTAATTTTGTACTCTATTTTTTTACAGGAAGAAGGACACATGGATTCTACCAAATAGTAGACAACGAACGTCTCCAGGCCATTGCACCCTTGACATACTATATCACAGGGCACGGCCCATTTCCATCCTATTTTCAAAGACATGCAATTTCGATGACAGATATATGCGTCTGCGGAGCAACTGGCTCCCCCGACCACTACATATTTGAATGCAGCCTTACATCCAACTTACACCTACCACTCCTAGCCACAAATATAGAATCATATAAACGATTCATCATTAAGCACCCACCAGCGGTCAAAAAGATCTGCCAAATAATTAGGCAGGTCAACGACCTAGGGCAAGATATCTGCCAACCAAACTAGCGTCAATTAAGGCGTCTCATAAAGCAACCACAGTCAGCTTTCACTACCAAATCATCAACAGAATTCTGACAGTCTCTTATACTGACAATCAGCTGAATGCAACTTACAATATGTTTAAATTATGTGCTGCGCTTATAACATAACTGCACTATACACTACCAACATGTAATATAACCGCTGAAATGTCCCTACAGCGCATGAAGTACTTTTTTTTTTCTTTTTTTAGACATAGCTGCTTACTGCGTACAGTACTCACTTACGGCGTATAGAGCAAACTACTGACTATGAACAGACTGCTACCTGCATTGTGTCTCTGTAGTAGTTACAACGACTGAAATATCTATAGAAGTATTTCCTGGAATAACCACAGTTATTACAACAACTGCAAGTTATATATCAGTGTATAAGGTACTGTGCGCAGAGTAATTGGAACGCCCTGACAAATCGTGTACAGAACTTATCAACAGTGTACAGAGCTCAACACTGACTAATCACAGGTTACTACTACTTGCATGTCCATGCTAGTCCATGCTTAACTGAACAGTGTAAAACAAATGTGTATCCGACTT